TATATAATAATATATAAGGCACACTATAAATGATACGGCAAAAACATAATAATAAAGTGATTTTAAAATGTCGTTTTATTTATAAAAAAGAAGGAATTTGTCACTTAAACTTAAAAGAAAGTTTTGGAAATTTACCGGGATTGGAAGACAAGTCCAATCTATAATAACTGAGAGACATGGTAATGATAGATAATATCATTTTGTAGTGAAAAATGGTGAATGGTATAGGTTTGACGCCTCTATAAAACACTATCAGGTTATCTAAGAGACGAATGATTCATAAAATTGAATTAATGTATCACGAATAGTGAAGTGTTGGGAAAAGTTGCAATTAAAGATCCTCACCGCCCACCAAAATTATCCCCCCCCCTCTCTCTCTCTCTCTCTCTCTCTCTCTCTCACACACACACACACACACACACAAACACACACATACATACACACACACAAACACACACACACACACACACACACACACACACTCACAAACAGACACAAGTGGGCGACACCGCACAGATTGTCAAACTCTGACCTACATGACGCTACAACTTTTTTTAAAGACCCCAAATAGGAGACTGACCAAGTTCTAACTGCTTGGCGCCCAGTTTTGAGAAATTCGACCTTAAAATATTTTGAGTTTCACGTTAAATCAAGCTTTTTCGAATGCAATTCTTGGAATATCTTGATAACGACTCCGAATAATTTTAGGATTTTGATAGAGCAGATAGAACATTTGGCTACTGACCTTATGATCTTAGTGACTGAAAACGGCCAAAAATGTTAGATACAATTTTGTAATTCTAAGTTCTAAAGTAGCGTAGTGTCGGGAAGTAGAGCTTATGACTGCTCAAATGTGACCAACATTTCTCTGCCAAAATTGGTCAATAGGCAGAAGATATTCGGAGACGTCTCCGGCGAGCACCCAGGAACTATTCGGAGACACACTCCCGCACACAGATGCACAGCTTTGGGGGGAGGGGGGTGATCAAACTGCGTATTATTGGCTGCAGATCACACATATAGCCACTAAAATCAATTATTTTCAAGAAAATTTCAAACTTAACTGCAAAATATCAAATTATGGGTTAAAACAGTAACCCCCCCCCCCGATCTTTTTTGCTTGGTCTAGAGGCAAAAAGCATTTTGATTGGTCTATTTCCGTGGGAGCCGTCTCCGAATAGATGTTGCCGTCTCCCTGACAAGAAATAACAAAAGTCACACGTCTTCTCGGCCTTTATTTTCTTCTCTTCGTTTGAGGAATATTCTTCTCTCTGGATGAACTGGTTGCTTTTAAGGACAAGTGGTATAACCCAGATTTTGATGGTTTCCAGAAATCTTGACCTCCACCATAAGTGGGCGTTGCCCTACCTTTAGGAGAAGCTTGGTTTCATCGATGTGTATATTTATTTGGTTATAGAGAAAACTCTCCTCGTCTTTTAAAGAAACTGAACAAGGGTCCAAAAACTTTGACTTCGATTTTCTCAAAACAGCTTGTTTTCGGGATAGCCTCCTTGTGCTTAAAAGCGACCAATTGGTCATCGTCAGACATTGACGGACGAACTATCACTGTCTGCTTCTTGGAAGAATAACGCTTGAAGCCCAGAGGGCGAAGCCATAAAAAAGTTTAAGCAAATAATTAAACGAAGGACTCAAGGGAAAGACAATGGATGTCCCTTTGGGGCATTTATTTGAGAAAATCAAAAATGAAATTCCTGAGAGCCCACGTTTTGCAGCCAATTGTAGCTTGTTTAGCCCTGGACATGATGTAGCTGGGCCAGAAGAGGTGCGTTAACACTGTCACACTCAAAAGATTATCCAAAAAACACCCCCCTCCCTCCCCCGGGCGGTGCTACTGACTGAAGTGTCTCTAGGCCATTCCCATGTTCTTATGCACAGTAGAAATGTAATTGTAAATGGGCTAATTCATCAATGTCATGCTCATAACTGTGCCTGAACTGCAACAGGGAACTGTTACTTTTTCTTTCCTAATCCTTACTATCATCATTTTTTCCTATAGATCTACTTTTTAAAGTATGTTTGTCCCTCTCTTGTGACAGTCTATTTCCGGGTTGCCTTGAAAGTCGAAGCAGACTTTGTGCTGTTGAAGCTAGAGAGGTGAGCAGAGTAAGCCTGATTCCCTGTAAGGACTTCTCTGTTGACATCCACCCCTTGGTGCTCATATGACTTTATGTAGCACTATTATTATAACTATTATTATTATTATT